CGAACGCGCGCCTCCATCATCCGGCTTTGCGCTCTTGCTGCTCCCCGGGAGACGCGCGGTGAGCGCGGGCTCAGGGGTTCCAGGGCGAAGGTAGTGGGCTGTTATCCCGGGTGGTCACAAACACCCCAACCCCAACCTTTAGGACTGCTCCGGAGGGGGCGAGGGGGGAATATGAACCACAGCCTGCGCCCTTGGAAGCCTGGCTTCCGCCCAAGGAGCCCAGCCCCGCATGGGGTGCGTGCGGGGAACCCCGAGGATCCAAGCGCGCAGTCCCCATGCTCTGAAGACTTTGCCACCGCGCTCGCAGGCTCAGGGATTCGCGGGCGTCAGGATCGCACAACCTGTCCCACGTCCCCAGAGTCCACAAGGGCTCGCCTCGAGGGCCAAGCGAATGTGGCTTTGCCTGTTCCTCCTTGCCGGAGTAGGGAGAGCGTAGGTGTGAAGGTCACATTTCTCAGCCTTTGGGCCTGCGGAACACATTTTTAACTCCCCGAGAAAACGCCCCCCACCCCCCAAAAAAATCCCCTTCCCGTTTCTAGATTGCAGTTGTTTTGTTTCTGCTACTTTTGAGGGTGGGGACAAAAAGCAAAGTTTCTACATAAGAATGTCGCGGTACATACAGCCCCGCAAAGTGCTTCTTCAGGGCGCTTTAACCCCCCCCCACCCCCGCCCTGCTTTCTGCATGCTCAAGGAGCCGAATAAAGAAAGCAAAGACTTCTATTTTATACACCACTTGATCTTTGCTTGGGAAACTCTATTAATTGAATGGGTTTGCCTTTTTTGCCAGTCCCCTTTATCATTATTTATGGGCTTTAAATTGTTTAAAGTTCCCTTGACGTTCAATTTACAAGTTTGGGGACTTTTTTTGTTCTGCCTTTTGTCCTGGAGAAAGACATCGTGTTGGAAGCGCTTTGAAAAGCCAAACATGAGAGGTTGGCAATGAAAGGGAAGCGGGCGAGATTCCTTTTAATTCCGTCCTGTTGGTGAATGGCTCTTTTACATAATTGCAGGCGCTATTTCAAAGCCAGCCAAGGGCTGACTTCACTTAGAACCACATGGAGTCTATTTTGGGCTTTCAGATTAAAAAAAAAAAAAGCTGAATAAAATAGTTTAAAAAGATGAGCCTTCAATGCTTTCTGCTACTTGCAAATTGGTGTGTCTGATGGGGAATTTTACACAAGCACCCCTTTGTAAGTGCACCTTGGACTGGGGAGGCACTATTCTGGGTTAGCTGAGTGTGAATCCCAATTGCCCTTCCATAAATAAAACCCATCCCAAGTTATTTCTAAACTATTGCCAGGAGCAAGAACTGCGGCAATGACCGAGTGATACGGCCACTCAAAATCCCTATAAATAAAAACAACCCGGTTGCCCCAGAAACCAGCCTCTCGCCAGGGTCTTGGGCGGACAGCGGGAAAGCCCAACTAGCCCGCAGTTTTCCCCGCATCCACCGAGAGCTGGGGCGCCCACGCTAAACCCTGAAAGCTCGGGGTGCGCGGTGCTTCCTCCTCGGGGGTTGGGCTTGGCAGGCCAACGCAAGTTTGCTGCATGAATATTCATTACTTGTGCGTTTTCTACCTGCATGCAAACGCTGACTAGGACAGCCCCAAGCGTGGAGTCAACTTAATTACAATCACTTCTATTGAACGTCTAAACCACGTTTAAGTGGCTTAAAACGATCCTGACACTCGCTTGGAAGCAGTAAAGCACCCTGCGGCTGGGCTATCTTCATCTGGGAAGGAGGCTTTCTGTGAAAAAGTTCGCAGAAGTTATCTGAAGTTGGGAGACCCAGCTCTCCTTTCCCGCGGATCCAGCCTTTTTCCTAATTGGAGGGGGCGGGGCTCTTAAAGCAAAGTTGCAAAAATCGGTGTTGGTGGTTTTCCCGCGTAGCCGGGGCCGAGTCCAGTCAAGCAGGACTCAGCGGTTTGAAGCTGTTAGAAGCTCAGCAGATAGGAATCCGAAGGATGCCATAAGCCAAGTACCTGTCGCTACCTGCCCATAAATCTCTTCGCAGAGCCGAGGACTCTAAAGGCTGTTGTTATCCGCAGTCCCCATGCTCTGAAGACTTTGCAGATAGCTGAGGTGCCCCGAATGAATCTTGTTAATCACGCCGAGAAACACAAGGATCCTTTTATGACGCGAACAGTCGTTTTCTAAGTAGTTAAGCATTAGATGAGAAAATATTACTGCATTGCATTCGAGTAGTGCACACTGGTAAATAAAACTCATATTGATGTAAGTTATCTGAACTCACTAATAAAAGGAGATTAGTATTATAACCTCTGCAGCCGATTCTTTTCACAGCAATTTATGGATGCAAATATGCCATCAAGTTATTTCAAGTGTAGCTATAATTCAAGGGACCTAAATCTTCTTGCAGAACTTTAAATGCAGAATCACCCAAATAATCAAAGGAGTCCGTCTCTCTGGAGGTCGTCGGGCGACGAAAGTCCCTAGAACATTTTTTTTCCCGTGAAATAGCAAAGTGGATAGCAGGCTGGCCAGGTGAAATGAGTAACCGCTTACGCAGGCATGCAGTGGTGAGGGAGAAGGGACCCGGCTACAGCAACGTAAATCAAAGAAGCATTCATCCTTCGTATTCCAACAAGCAAGACTGTTACAGAAACTATGTCATAATGAGAGGGAGGATTTATTAAGCTCACGAAGAAATCAGTCTTTTTTCCTGAGCTTCAGTTCCTCCTTTTTTTTTTTTTCCTTCTTCTTTTTTTTTTTTTTTTTTTGTGGGAGTAGAGAGCAAGGGACAGAGCTTGGAGATCCCACAAACACCTCCTTCCCCTTGGATCCCAATGGGAATTAATTTCCCCTTACACTGCCTAAGCCACCTCGAGGTCTGGGCGTGAACTGAGTGGAGGTAATGCAGGCAGCGTCCTAATGAATTCCTTTCAAACCGCCTGCTGCCGGAGCCATCTATTACGCGGCCTGGAGTGGGGAAACGCGCTCCAGACGTCTTTGTCCGGGTGATAGAGGGGAGGGGAGAGAGGCTGGGGGAAGGAGGGCAGCTAGCGGCCGGGCCAGCTAGTTTTCTCCATGCCCTGGGACGCCGAGGACGCACCCTCCCCTCTTACCTCTCGGGCCCTCTGGGTGGGCAGTGAATCTCTGGCCAGACTCCTGGCTGAGGAGAAGGTCTAGGATTAAGACATCCCCCAGGGGCCTTGGGGTTAAAGCAAGAGAAAGAGGAAGAATGAGAAAGAGCTTCAAAGAATCGGGTCGATAAATTCATAAAGATCGATTTATCTTTATCTCCCAATTAAATGTGCTCGTAAGTGATACATAACACACGTCCAACCACGGGCCAACTCCCCAATCACTAGCTGCTAGGCGTGAGCTGATTTTTAATGGCCGATAAAACAATGCCCTTCTCTCCTTCTCCCTGGCCGGGAACTGTCGTCTGGCAGAACGTTTAGACCCGGGAAGTTGAAGCCGAGGCCCAAGAGGCGCGTGGAAGCCCCGCGCAGGCTGGCGCGCTTTACACGGTCTGTCCTTGCCACGATACGATTCCATTTTTAAAGGGAGCACAAGAGCTGAAAGTTTGTTTTAACATGAAGGATTAAGAGCATCCCTAGTCCCCCCCGCCCCCACTCCCTTACTCCCAAATTCGGGGTCTTTACCATTGTCGACAAACGGGAAATATCTTGAGAGAATCCTCTCCATCCTGCCGTCTGCAAAGGGGAACCGCACGCCCTCGAGTCCTCGCGCTGAAACCCTAGTGGGGGGCACCAGGGTGAGCGCTCCCTCGGTTCCCAACGTGCTTAATTAGCGCCTATTTACAAAACGCAGCTTTTATTTGAGCAAACATCATAAAGCTTTCATCAGGATAATCTCACGTTATACAATCCAGAGGCAGAGCAACTCCCCCCTTCCTCCCCGAGGATGGAGCAGATAAAGGACTCGCTTTATTATCATAATTATCGTGGTTGTTATTTTGGTGTGCGCTGGCAAAGTGGGTAAATAGGTGCGATGATTAAGAATGTCATGAAAAATGAGAAGGGATCGCTCAGGGGAGGGCCCAGCTTGGAAAGAAGGGACCAGCAACCTCCCCGCCCTGCCGCGAGCGAGCGCGGGGGCGCAAGGAGAACCGCGGGTTCCCGGAGGCGAGCAGGAGCTGACAGCTACAGAGCCGTGCCCGGGGGCATGTCTGCAGGGGCAGGACCCTGCCCCACACTCCAGGAACATCGCCGGGACCCCTGGCGCGGCCGGAGCACCCAGCGCTAGGTGAACCTCAGGCAGGCTTGTTCCGAACACAGCAAATGTAAAAGAAATAAAACGCTCCCGGCCAATCCGCGGCGGGTGCAAGGCCGGAAACTGCCTTTTTAGGCGGCCTCAACAAGGCTGCCTTCATCCTAGGGTCTGAGACTGGTCCCTCTAAAGTTTGCTCCGCTCTGTCCCAGCGCTCTAGCTCCGGCTCCTAGGCCTGAGCGCTCCGACGGTGGCGCCCGCAGCCCGCTTCCGAGCAGCCAAGATGAAGGGGAGGAGCTCCTGCTTCGCCCCGCCTCTCCCGACACAGCCAATGGGAAGCGGCGCTCGGGCCCACGTGAGGCGAGCTCCGCTGGGCAGCAGGCAAAATGTGAATGAGAAAGAGGAGCGCGATTTAAAGGTGCTGGCGGCGCCCGCCAGAGACAAGTGTGCAGTTTTGGCGCGCTCCCCAGCGGCCCGCGGGCGGCGACGGACTGCGGGACAGACAAACGGACGCACGGGCTGCTGCTAGCCGGACCAAGGGCCGCAGACGCGAGCGCGCGGGCTCCGACGGGCAAGCAGCGGGCAGCGGCTCCGGCAAGCCTGCGGGGCCCGGGCGCCCTCTCCACTCCGGGCGCACGGCCTCACCCCCAGCACCGCCGCACCCGCGTTCGCTGGGAATGCGGCGGACCCAGGACTGAGAGGCGGCGGCGTCTGCGCTCCGGGTCCTTCTTGGACCCTGCCCGGCGCTCCCGGAGGTGCTCCCGGCGTCCAGTGGGCTTCCAGGCGGCAGCGCGGCGCGGGGACTTTTCGACTCTCCCTGGCCTCTCCCGAGCGCGTCTATGAGCGCAGCGTTCCCGCCGTCGCTGATGATGATGCAGCGCCCGCTGGGGAGTAGTACCGCCTTTAGCATAGACTCGCTGATCGGCAGCCCGCCTCAGCCCAGCCCTGGCCATTTCGTCTACACCGGCTACCCCATGTTCATGCCCTACCGGCCGGTGGTGCTGCCACCGCCGCCGCCGCCGCCGCCTGCGCTGCCCCAGGCCGCGCTGCAGCCCGCGCTGCCGCCAGCACACCCTCACCACCAGATCCCCAGCCTGCCCACCGGCTTCTGCTCCAGCCTGGCGCAGGGCATGGCGCTCACCTCTACGCTCATGGCCACGCTGCCGGGAGGTTTCTCCGCGTCGCCCCAGCACCAGGAAGCGGCGGCCGCCCGCAAGTACGCGCCGCAGCCGCTGCCCGGCGGCGGCAACTTCGACAAGGCGGAGGCGCTGCAAGCCGACGCGGAAGATGGCAAAGGTTTCCTGGCCAAGGAAGGCTCGCTGCTCGCCTTCTCCGCGGCAGAGGCAGTGCAAGCGTCGCTCGGTGAGTCGGCGGCGCGCGCAACCAGGACGCGGGGACAGGAGGGGGTGGGGGCGGGCCAGCTCTGGGTTCCCGCGGGGACCCAGGGTTGAGGCCGCGCCCTCACCCGACCCCTGCTGGAGTAGCTGGCGAAGCGGCTCGGGCGCCGTGCGGGGCCTCCCAGGGGGGCATTTAGACCCGCGCAACAAGCGGGGTCTCTGGAGAGGGGCATTTAGCCCTTCGCAGCCAGCTGCTGCTCTGGGCCATATACCTGGCAGCGCTTTCGGCCAATCCATCCTCCCCCTCCACACACACACACACACACACACACACACACACTCCGCAGGGACCTGGGGTCCTTGGTAGATTGCAGCCTTAAGGTGAGGCCTGTTGAGTTGTGCGTCACAGCCGTACCTGCGCTCAGGGTCTCTTCCCTGGATTTACTGTTTGCGGCGGAGAACCAGATTCCTGGGAGCTTGTGTGTGTGTGTGTGTGTGTGTGTGTGTGTGTGTGTGTGTGTGTGTGTGTGTGTGTGTGGGCTGTCGAGTGGGAACTTCTCCTAAGACTGCAAACATTCCTGTGGCTAACATTATCACTGTCAAAAAAAGACACAGTCTGGCCAGCTGCACGTCCCTGCGCCCCGCACTTTGGCGGCGGTGAAATTGAGGTTCACTACATTTTCTGTGTTCATGGGGTGGGAGCAGGATGGATGTGAACTCTCCCTCAGTCTTCAAACAGCCTCGAACCCCTGGGACAAAGAACACTCTCTTGGGCCTCATGCGTCCTGCTACTTCTCCTTAAGCTCCCAGAGGCTGGGAGGTGCACAGGAGGGCCATGGCGGCCCCTTGAGTGATGTTCCGGAAAAAGGCCTTCGCTATATGGTCTTTGGAGAGCGATGTGGACTACAGCTCGGATGACAATCTGACTGGCCAGGCAGCTCACAAGGAGGAAGACCCCGGCCATACGCTGGAGGAGGCCCCGCCAAGCGGCGGCGCAGCGGGCAGCACCACGTCCACGGGCAAGAACCGGCGGCGGCGGACTGCCTTCACCAGCGAGCAGCTGCTGGAGCTGGAGAAAGAATTCCACTGCAAAAAGTACCTCTCCCTGACCGAGCGCTCGCAGATCGCCCACGCCCTCAAACTCAGCGAGGTGCAAGTGAAAATCTGGTTCCAGAACCGCCGGGCCAAATGGAAACGGGTGAAGGCAGGCAATGCCAATTCCAAGACAGGGGAACCCTCGAGGAACCCCAAGATCGTCGTACCCATCCCTGTCCACGTCAGCAGGTTCGCTATTAGAAGTCAGCACCAGCAGCTGGAGCAGGCCCGACCCTGAGGGCCTGGCCAGGGCGGGCACCTGCGGTGGAGAAGCCCCTGCATCCAAGGGAACCCATGGCGGACTCCACTATGTTTGAAGCTAAACTCAAAGTCACATCCCAGACGTGGACAACCCAAGCAAATTGAGAATATATTCACTAAACAGGCTTAAATGACTGCGTTGGAAGGGGCTAGAGCCACCCCTGAAGATACACTAAATATTTATTATGCTACCCTACTTTGTACATAGATATCTATATAGACTGGATCTCAGCTGCAGTATTTTCAAAGTTATAGGACCAAATTACCCAGTAATATTCTCCACTCATTGCAGAAGACAAACGTCTGCTGTTCTCTGCCGCTTAGCAGCCACCCTCCCATACATTTCCAAAGGTAAACATGAAACACAGGAACAAACACGGGGGTTTAAACTTATTTTTGTTTCTATTCTGGCTTTTTGAGTTGACCGCTCGCAAAGCAGACATTGTTGGGCAGATCTGGAAATTTGCTTTTGCTTTGCTTTTGCCTGGCTTTTTTTCCTGGGGTCCCATTATCCTATCTGAGCCATGTCTGAAGCACGTCTCCGTTGTGTTTAATTTATTTCGATGTAGCTTATTTTCGTATAAGTTATGACATTTAAACAATCTCAGTCTTGTGAATAATAAAAAGGAGCGAGGAAAAAAATGATCAAGCCCTGGTCCTCAGAAGTGTGTCCAGAATTTGAGTGCTCAGACGCCACTGCCAGGATGTGAGCAGGCAGCTGGCCTGGGACCAGTACTGGTTAAGCCCCCGAGTTCAGGTCTCCTGCTGGCTGGACACCGGTCATGTTAGCACCTTAACCGGTTTAAAATTGGAGAAGCGTTCCAACAGGGTTCCAAGTTTAAGAACATCTAGTTTTCATCTTAGGAGTCTAACAATCTCTCCCTTTTGCACAGCCTAATTAATACCTGGGGAGCTGGCAAACTTTGGCCCGAGGAGAAGGTGGGTGGGTGCCCAGAGGAAGGGAAGAGAGTTCGGGTGATGGTGGTGGCTTTGACAAACTCCTGCTGCTTAAAATGCACTACAGCCCGGGAAGGAACGCGTTTCCTTGCTAACATCCCCAGCCCGCAAAGTAGCGGTGCTCACTCGCCAGCAGGGCCGAGGGCCCATAAATCAGGCTTCGGGCATTATCTTCCGACAGGAGCAGGAACCCAACAAGCCAAGCCGGGCTTCCGGGCAGGCAGCACTGGGCTCAGAGGCCAAGGCGGGTGTGAGCTCCAGCGGGCTCTGCACCTCCCCCTTCGGGCGGGGTCGGAGGGGGGCGGATCCCGACCACCGCCCCACCCCAAGGGCGCCGGGGTGGTCAGCGCCACAAAGGGGTAAGGAGAAAGTAATACCCGCGACCTGGGGGTCGGTCAGGAAAGACCTGCAACTGGGCGTCTCCCCGCCTCGTTGGGGTGGCCTGCAGGCCGCGTGCCCGGGTCCCAAGCCCTCCCGTCCCCCGTATTGCACCCCTGGTTTCGCCCTCTTGGCGGGCTGTTTTCCGCACTCCGAAGCGCCCCGCTAGACGCAATTGGCCAGGCGCGCCCGAGGCTGCACAGGACCAAGATGTCCCTGAAACCTGGAGCCCGCGAGAGAGGGCGATCATGGTGCCAGAGCCATTCGGCACAAAACCAGCAGCCCGAAGAGCAGGAGAAGCCGGTGGCTTCGCTAAATCAGCCTTCCAAACGGAGGGAGGGGACCCCGGGGAACCGCCGCACAGCAGCCGCGCGGCACTAACCACGGTTGTCAGTCCAAGAAGGGGACACACGGCGCCATGGGGCAATACTACTAACTATTACTGACTTCATTTATGTGGCTTACAGCCTGTCATCTCTCCGCGGCGGAGGGGTGTGGGCGCCAAAGCCCTTGCCTGAACTTCGGCAGCAGGGTGAAGGCCACGGTTTCCCGCCGTCTTCCGAGTTTCCGGTGATGGAAAATACCCGGGCTTGGGTTTTTAGCACAATAAAACCTAGCGGCCGGTCCTCTGAGAGCCTCAGCAGGCTCTGCGGGCGTGGAGAGCTGCGACAGTTTCCAGTCATCCCCGACTCTGCGCCCATGGAGAAAGGGGGCTGCGCCCTGGTGGCGCCTGGTCCTCAAGGCCAGCTCCCTTGATCCCGCCCTCCCGTGCGCGCTCAGCACTAGTCGCGGGTGGGCGCCATAGGCTCTGGGCAGATCCACGCGGCATTCGAGGCCCACGGGGACGCCAGTCCTTTATCCTCCCATACAAATACACCTGGACCCCTCCGTCCCCGGGCTGCTTATGCGTCCCCTCCTCGCCGACAGCGTCCGGTGGCACAGTCTGGCCCAAGGACCATGGGGGTGGGGGGATTTGAGGCCTCCTGCCCCACTGGCACTCCGGGTCTGGGGAAGACACCCTGGGCATTGAGAAGCAATCCCTCCAGGCCCCAAGTGTCCCCATAGTCCTTGCACCAACCAGGTGTAACCTCTACCTGCCTTCTCTCAAAGCCCATGGATGGACCCCACAAAGCCTTGGCTACAAAAATCCCCAAGAAAGCAAAGCTCCTTAGGTATGGGAGGCCATCAGAGACCCCCACTGTGGGGCCCAAGTTCCTCAGCCATACATCCTGTACTTTGGAAGAACCAGGAGGAGAGACGCAGGGAAACACTGCTAGCCCTCCTGCCCTCTTGGGGCGCTGTCCCCCTCCCTCCCTAACCCCTGAGTGGCCTGGCCCCCAGAGCCCAGCCTGTACTCAGAGGCCCTGGAGACAGGCCGAGGGGAGGAAGATAAACAAGCAGGGCTTGATGGTCGCTGTCATCATGGCCGTCATCATGGCTTTCATTTGGCTGCCTAATGAGTCACATCACAGGCAGAGAGAAAAATTGTCAATCGCCTGGGCCCTAATGAATTTTTTTGCAAATTGTAATCAAGCCAGGCCGTCTCAGCTGGCTGATTAATGAGACCCACGAGGCTCGGCCAGCACCTCAGCTTTTTATTCCATCCCGTCCTCCCCGCACTAAATTAACAGCAACTTGTCTGAGCTTCAAATTAACTCCCAATGATTAATTCTGATGGGGGGGCCTGAAGAATAGCTTGTTCTAATAGGCTCTGGCCTGAGATGCTGTTGGAAATTAATACACTTCCCCTTTGGCTGCCGGCTTTAATCCAAGGTTGGGTTTTGACATCACTATATTTGTTGTTACAATAAATTCCACTTACATCTGCAGATCAAATAATTACACTGAGGAGCACAAGGACCTGCGCCCCCAGCCACGCAGTGGGACGCCCCAGGGACTGCCTGCACCTTGGGTCCATTGACTCTGGCAGATAGGTCCAAACGGGGCCTCAGGAAGCTGTCTGACCCTGCAAACCCCTGCCCTCAATCCCCTGGGAGCCCTGGCTCTTTGGGATCTGGGTACCCCCACTCCTTTGGAAAACCAAGGGTACTTTGAAAGCCTGCAGCAAGCAGCCTCATTTTCCTCTAGCTCCCTGGAAGGCCGGGAGTTCTCTCCAGGCAAAGCATCCTGGCCTGCAGAGCCCTCTCCAACCCCAACCCATGCTGGAATTTTCCAAGTAGTGCATGCTTGTGCACACAGCCTTCTTCGTCTCCTGGTCTTTAGCCTCCAGGGGCCTTCTTTCCAGCTGTCTTTTTAGCTGAATGAGGTGGGATGCAGGCCCTCCAAGTCCTCTCCAGCTGGGATTTGTCCCCCAGGACCATCCTGACTCTTTGGTTGGTTGTGTGTCCTGCCTTCCAAGATGGTCCTTCTCTGGGGTCAGCGTTTGCTCCCTCTTGTTTCTGTTTGTTTGAGCTTAATTGGTTTAATCATTTCAGCTGTGCCTGGCAAGCCTCACTCAGGGCCTCTGAGGTTGCTCCAGACCCGGGCCTGGTCAGAGCAAATCAGCTGTCCCCTTGGCAAGGGTTACACTGAAAGCTGGTGGGACCTTTTGACTCTCTAGGCAGGTCATCTCCTGGTTTTCATCTCAGGGTCCTCCAAGCTCTCTGTGGCTGTCTGAAGTGGCTGTAGCTACATTCAACAGTCCTGCAGCCAAGTTGGCCTCTCCTTCCTCCTTGGCTATGACATGGCCAAGTGGCCTGCTTGTTCCAGGGGTGGTCTTCTGGAGAAGGAGGCTTCTGTGCACACACAACTCTTTCCGTGTCTGGACTCCCTAGGTCTCTGCCCAGGTGCACACAGCTGGAGCAGGTGGTCTGCTCTGATATCTGGAGTGTCAGGGCTTCCTGGCACAGTGCAGTCTCCCCCACTCAGCTGGGGTAACCAGACTGGGGTTTGGGGGATGTGACAGGGGTCTACAGTGATGGCCTGGACAAGGGAGATGACATTAATCTTCATTTGGGGCCCTTATGGTGTAAACAGGAGAAATATGATCTTGGTAACAGAACATGAATGCAAATCAAGTTGGAATAATAAAGCACCCGAAACCCCACACACAAAAGCAACACCATATGTATGAAGACAACCTACATGAATTATAAATCACATCATAAAAATTGATTGCCTATTTGAACAGTTTAGAAGTGGGAGACCTAAGCTGACTTCCGCCCTTGATGGCTTTGGGTAAAGGTCAGGCAGTGCCTTCTCGACAGGCCGCTGGCTGACCCTAGTACATGGGCCCAGTCTCCTGGCAGCGCTGCTGTCCTGCCTGATTGGCACCTATCTGGGAGGCTTCCATCTGAGGCCCGCAAGCACATGAAAGCTGTGTAGACCTGTGCCTGCGGGAGGGTTGGAGCAGCAAGGGCGCAAGGCATGGCTTGCCAGAGTCCTCAGTCCCCGACATTTCTGGCCAGCACAGGGTCCTGCGGCCTTGAAAGCTGCTAGGATTTTCTAGGTCCAACACAAAGGTTCCTGCCAGGGCCTCCCTCATGGAGCTGGCTCTGTGATGAGCAAGGGTGAGAGAGAGCACGTGAAGGTGGTGCTCGCATCCCACTACCTGGGAGTGGTGATTGGGTATGGTTTTGCGGTTCCCCTTCCGGCTTTTACTGGTTTCTTTCTCCAAATCTCTAGATTCGCCGTAGTCAAGAGTTCCGATCCCACTGGCAGAGCTCAAAGCGCCAAAAGGCCGTACCCAGGCACCTGCAGAGCTGAGCACCCACTGTGCGCTCTGTGCCTCTCCTCTGAACCCCTCCACCCCAGCCCAGTGTCTTCCTTCCCAGCGGAAGCGCCACCCTCCTGGCCTCTAAGCGCTCCTGGTTTTTCACCACTGAACCCCCCTCTCCCCCCGGCTGATCTCTAGCCCCAACCCCGCCGCAGTGGCACCCCATCTCCCCTCTCCAGTCTGGCCTTTGGAATCTTCGCGCGTGTGGCCTCTGGACTGCTCCCCCACCCCCGGTGCACACAGGTTTAGGGCTCCTGTTCCTCCTCCTAATCCGCCCCGTCCCGCTGGATCAGGCACCTCTCCATCCCCGGTCTCCCAGCGACTCCCGTGTGCCCTTCGTGGAGCTGGGCTCAGCCCGAGTCGGGGCCTCCCAGGGAGCGGCAGCCACGCCACGAGGTGCCCCTGCGCTAGTCGGAACCATCGAGCACCCCGTGGGCCTCCAGGGAGAGGCCGGAGGCCATCGCGCCGGGGAGGCCGGACCTGAGCCCGAAATCTAGGGCCTCTCCGGGGAGGGTCGTCCCCCCGAAGCCTTCATCTCTTTATTTCCCGCCACTGGATCCCTTGCGGCCTTTGTCATGCCGGAGTGCTTC